GGCTGAATCAATTGTTTCGTTGTAAACGCTCTGATCCTTACTGATTCATTGTTGAGAGTTCTTATATCGGACTGTACTATCGTAGTTCGTTCTGATAATGGATGATAGTTACCAAAGGTGTTTATCATTATCTCGTTGCCAAATCGAAATAACTTAAGTCTCACCACCAGTGCATCTGAAATATATGAGGACTGTGCCATACTGCTGTGACCGTACTGCTTCAAAGTCATCTTTTATTTGATGGATATTCTTTTAACCTACTCAATAAAAGATGATATCGATTTTCCCTTTGACCATATTGGTTTTTTAGCGTGTTTAATGCAGTAAGGTAATTTTCATCGGTCACTGCGTTATGTGAAACGACCATTTTAGCTTTTCCTTTAAATTGACCCAATAACTTTTGTACATTCGGAATTTTTAGTTGGTCCACCATCATTTTAAATGATGAAATAAATTGTTCCCATATATTGGGGTCTCCACTGAATTCGCACAAAGATATCGGTGGTAGATGAGATATCTCTGTCGTCCTCTGGTTCCTTTGTAATTCCATTAAGCTGGATATGATTTCACACTTATTATGTCGTTTCTTTGCACTTTCCTGTCTCGACTCCAATTCTACTCTATAATTCTACTCGACTCTATAATCGTTGCTTGAATATCGTAAACCTGTTGAAATATTTCTTCTAAGTTAATTTCTTCCAAAAATTTCTTTTAAACTGATTCTTCCTTAGTCGTTTGCGTTATACTTGACCATTGTTGTCCTAATTCGTTCATCTGTTTAACGAATAAGTCCAACTTTTTCTTCTCGGCTTGCATCCCAGTCGTCCCAGTCGTCGACCCAAGTCGCTTCGTTTTCCCTCATTGTTGCACTTGGGGAATGTAACGATCTTTCAATTTAATGACGCACTCGTCGATTTTCTTTTGCGTCAATTTTAGTTTTTGCTTTTATCATACATTTCGCTATATTCGCTTTTTTATAATCAATAAAAGTGGAATAATAGAAAAATATATGATTAACATATATATATATATATATATGATATTAATATATATATATGATATTAAATATATGATATATGATTAATCCAAACGTAAATCGGTACTGTCGATTCGTTTCAAATTTCTTTGTTCACCAGCTGAGTAACGAAAAAAGGGATTCGTTTGTCATTTAACCTTCAAGTCGTTATCCCTTTCCGTTAAAAAAGCTATCGTAATCGTAACTCGATCGTTGCAGCGAACCTCAGACTTGGGTAATTAAACTTTATTTAGATAACAATATAACAATTATAACATAGTTACCAAAATTCGACCGTCATGGTGCTGGTATATTTGTTGTGTTTTTATTGGTTTACATTGTACCATATAGCTACGAATATAGAAATGTAAATTTTAAATCATTAAATTGTATATTTATAAAATGGTTTTGTTTCTAATTTATAAATTTATAAATAGCATGGATAGAAAGAAACCTAGAAATACTTTTCACATATCAAGCTTATTTTCTGAAATGAAGCATTTTTACGTAGGCGAATTAATTAACCCAACAATTTAATTGTTTAAATGCAAATTATCTAGTAAGCAGGTAAATGATTAGTGTCCACCATTGTTGATGCGGCTGGCTCCACCAGCTTTTAATATGGTTAGAAATGATCTAATGATGGAAAGTTTTTCAGATATCAAAGATTGGATTCATTGATACGAGTCATTAAAAGTGAAATCTGGGTGATGCTAAGGGTTTATCCCCCAAGTGATTTTTTTATGAAAGAGTCACACTCTGGTAGTGATTGTGGCCTGCGAAACTGGAAATATCAGCGCTCCTAGGAGGTTATATAAAGGAAAAGTGAATAAAGTATAAAGAATAAAAAATTTTTAAGTATAAAGGTATAAAAAATTATTTCGATAACATGGCAGTATGACAGTACCTAAAACAATCGCTCTATATAATTGTGCTGATCAGCAAGCTATTTTTTGCAATGGAATTGCTCAATTTGCTTGCTCTGTCGTTTTTATTGGATATACAAACATTCAAAAAGTGTAACTTTTTTTAAAGAATAAATCCGAAAATATACAAATTTATTTGAAAAAATTAGATGTGATGTTGGACTCATATCTCCAAACCTCATAATTCTCTAATTTTCTAATTGATATATTTTCCGAATTATTTTTTTAAATAAAAAACTGAATTGTTTTTGAAAATAATTTCAGTGAATTTTCTAGCTAAAAAAATTAGATAACAATTTTTATTAATACTATTATTACTTTTAGAAGTAGTAGTTGTAGTATTAATTATTTTTATTATAATTTTTAAAAAAAATGCAATTTTTACTCCAAAGCATAAAATTTCAGAGACAAACGACGGTTGATCCTTTTTGGAATTGGTTCATTTATAGCATTTCATATAATTAATTTACCTTGGACTTTTTATACGGAAAAACTTGATTATATAAAATTAGGTAAATGAACTAAATATCTCAGATTACTAATTATAGATCATTAACTTAAAAATGAAATTTATTCTGGTTCCTTCTTGTTCTTGAAAGAAGTTTTGTTTTAGCGCCGAACTCAACAAATGAAAATACTTCTTATAGACGAAGTTGCTCTAGGCGTTATATTTGGTGTGATGATATACGCAGAATTCCATTAAGAATCTATATATTCAGTACTGTTGTATTATCCGGCCTTGGTTTTCCATTTATGTCATCGCCAACTGGATCACTTCTCTCAGAGATATTAGGACCAGGTCATTGATTCAAAGAGTGGCATGATTTCCATGATTTTCATCTTCTTATCAAACATGGAATGAATTCTTTGTCACTCGCCGTTTAATCAGTATCAGTAATTCAGTAATTCACTTTTTTAAAATAGAGGTCTCAAAATGTGATGCTCGAACGGGTGACAGTTGAGTAGAGTTGAGTTGTTTTTGTCTGAGGTCAAAAATCATGAGTTCTATTTCCGTACTTTCACTGGTGCAGACCTGCCATTAAAATGAAATTGGATTTGTGCCAAGTATATTTACAATTACCCCACAAAAATCATTGTGGCACTGATTATTTAAACTTCTATTGCCAAGTAGCATCTTAATTTTTCAATGAATTGACAACCATTGGAGCAATCGTTACTACAGTTAACGAGCACTTACTGCGTTATACATACGGAAGCGAAAATTATAAGTGTAAATAAAATAGATGAATATAATAAAGAATAATTAATTAAGGATCAGTTTAAAAGAAACTTGTTAATGCAAGGCTTAATGCAAGGTGTTGCTGAGTTTTTTTGCCAAATTTGTGGCCATCTGTGGCCAAATTTATTGGTCCTATAATTTCTGGGTAAGTAATTTCGTTATTTTTTCTAGGAATCCTTTTTTCCCGAGATCTTTTTGAGAAAAACAGTCTGATTAAAGTAAATCTAAAAATTGTGCGCCAGATATTAGGCTTAAATGCCTAGCTTCATTGGGTTTCGGTTTTAGGCTTAGTGTCACTTAAATGTAATATATTCTCTATCATTCTGTAGTTTTCTATTATCAAGACACAATAAATATATTTTGCTTTTGCAACAAATTATTTTTCAGAAAAATGTTTGAGTTGAACTGTTATTTTTTGCCAATACTAATACAGTTGATAATACTTCTCCTTGAATTTTTAGCAATCATTGTTTTTCGCCTTGTTCCATTGAGCCTAATTCCTAATAGGAGTGCCGACAAATATAAATCTGGAACATCATACCGGCTATTGTCCGAAACAAACTAATAAATTGTTGTGCCACCAGAGTCCTAACAGATTTTGATGGGGTTCGAACAATGTGCAAAAATTTTTTCATTTACCTCCTTGTGTATCTTTTTAGCGTTTGATGAGATTTTTCAAAAAAACAATTATGTGAATTACAAAATTACACTTGCAATTACTTTTCTTTTTTATATCTTTGTTGCAAATTTATAAATGAAATAATGATAAATGCAATATAATATGGCGTAATAATAGAACCAACTAATAAATACTGCGATGAACAAGCATAAAAACTAAAAATTTTCGTTTCTATCTTTTAAATATCATGTATTCTGCCTACGTTCTGCCTACGTACAATTTGTACAATTTATATAATAAATTGTACAAATTGGTAAAAAAAAGTAAAGAATAAAGAATTAGGGCAGTGTGTCGACACATCTAGAATAATATCAGAGAAAATAATAGGACGACGAATCGCTTGAATATTTGAATATTCCCACTTTTGCCTAATTTATTTACCGTTTCCAGAAATTTACTATGTGAAATCGCATTAAAAACCTTGGCTAAGTCAAAATAAATATTTGAATCATTCTGGTCCCTTTATAAGCGAAATTATTAAAATGAAAAAGAAAAATGCAATGAAAAATTTTTAATAAACCTCATACAGGAAAAACAACAATTTTTTGCACTTTTTCATAACGAACATGCAGCTTCTCTTGAAATCGAATGTATTTGATCTTCGGGTGGTATTTGCGTTAATGTTCTGCATCAAAATAAATAACTGAAGTTAGTTGACTAATAGAGTAGTTACAGATATAAGATAGCAGCTGAAAATCAGGGATCTTTTCTTAAAATAAATTTGTGTACACTTAAATAAATTTTTCTTTTTCGAATCTTTTTTAAAGGTCAGAGCCATAAAGTTGATAATCCCATACTGGTCGTTGCAAGGCGCCCACACAAACGACCATCCACGATGTATGCAAAAGTGAGAGCGTCCCTCAACAACGTCCCCAATTCCTTTGCTCACTCCCTTACTTCCTTTTTCTTTTCCCTCTTCCTCGCCACCATCTTCCCACTTTCCATCACGAATTCTAAATAACCAAAAGTAGCAGCATGAGTGTGCAGGATTTGGGGTGCGCGGAGATTTTATTAATTTCTTTTTCTTCCGCTTTCTCAAGATGGAAGACTCCCTACCGTTACTGATTAGGTACTTTACATTTTCGCTCACATATTTTCAGTGATGTTTTGTAACACTCGCTCCTCTCAAATTCCTTAAAGCTTTTAATGGCCTTCGCTAATTTAAGCTCCTTCGCCCTTCGTTGAAACATGTAGTTACCGAATACTATGATACCGAATATTATCGATGAATCAGCCTATTAGATGCCTCCAGAAAAATTTTTGTTTCTCTTTACTGAATAGACCTATGGCAGTACGAGGTAGCGGGATGGCTTTAGTTTCTCATACACTATTAATATTCAATTAAATGGAATAAATGGAATAATCGACATCGCTTGTCAGCAGTCGAAGGTGTGCAGATCAATTCAAAGCATAGTATTTTAAACAGGCTGATGGTGCAATCCTTTTAACTGACAATTATGAAATGCAAATAAAGCTAAACAATTTGTCGACAACTACAGCGAAAATCGGACTCATGATCGATGCAAATAAAAAACAAAAATTTTCGTCTTATAGATCAGAGCTGATAAAATACCCATTTTAATCAATTCGTTGATGCCGATTGAGGAAGTGCCAGATTTTAAATATCTTGGATCTACTCTAATCCCAAATGACCAAGCAAAAGACGAAATTAGAACAGAAATAGCAACTGAAATGTGTTTCTTCGATTAGCGAAACCTTTGCGAAATCACCCTTATGAAAATCCGCATATATACGACTGCAATTCGCATGATCTTGTTATATGACTGCAAGATATGGCTAGTTTAGAATATTAAGAAGTTATCTGCCTTTGTCCACTCATGTCTAAAATAACATCTCATTGGTTCGTCAAGTGGACAGAATCTCAAATGATCGCCTTCATCTCTCAAATACCTCTTACATTAACGGTACCATCACAGAGCGTCACCTTCTCTAGTTAGACCACATTCTTCATCGCTCACCACAAGAGTTGACACATATTTCGTCCCTTGCTAAACCTTGTGATTAGCATCGCATCAAAAATGAGGTGGGCCAATCAAGATCTGGACTGACACGGTTTGGAAAGATTTGAACGTATAAGGACCAGCAATATATGGACTTAGACTATGGAAAAAAGAATGGCTTTTTTTACTATCAGCGTTAACATCTGATCGAACAGCTTGGGAACGTCTTACTCTTATAGCCAGAGAAGCCAATCCAATCAGTAATGGTGAGAAATGTTAGAAGTGGTATTAGACTAAAGGTGGGTCCACCAGACTTTAATCTACATAGGGAACGCGTGTACCAGTATAGTTTCTTGTTATATCGCTCTCTCACCAGCCATACTTCGTAGCGATATAGTAAACTTATACTTAATACGGCCATAAATGCATAATTTCACTTCGAAGTTGATTTCGAAGCGATCCGAAAAGATAAAGGAAAACTTCTGGCTACAGCTATCTAAATCTCGCCTTTCGCATGGCCAGCCGAGGTAATAGTAGATTTAATCTCTTCAACTGGTAATATATTTATAAATATATTTATAAATATACAATCATTTACTACTTATCAAATATTTATTGCACTGTTATCTGTTACTTATTATTTTTAGAAGATTAATAAAAGGCAATAACTATGGCACCTAAGAAATCCAAAGACAATCTGACTCACTACACAGGACTGTTTAAATCAAAAAAAGAATAAAAGCGCATGATCAGCTTGATATGAAGATGAAAAGAGTTACATCTTATTTAAATTAATTATGAATGCCGGTCACAACTGAATGCTGATTTCCTCTTGACCCAATATACAGCATAAAAGAGCACCTTTTGTTGATTTTGGATGTGGCACCGAATCAATTGGTTACAAATGCCACGCCTTTGTAAGCCAGCGAAACCTAACTGGTAAGTGAAGTGTGGTGCAAAAAGAGACACATTTTCATGAACATCATTCCAAAATCTGTCCAGTATCCCAGTGGAATTTCGTCATATTTGACCGACAAATATTTTAATGTTCTCCTTATTAGATGCTGCAATCAGCAAATTCGCATTAGCAATCGCTAATTAGCAGCTTTTGTGTTTTTTATAAAATTTTGGGTATATTTGGTTCGTAATTTTTTAAGGTTGCGTGATGTACATGTGGATCTGCGGCACGGTGGGCGGTCCTCTTCTTATTAGAAAGTGTTAAATGTTGGTTGATTCAGGTTTTCGTATATTTCTGCAGAAAATTGATGGTGAAATACATTAACTTTTTTTAACAGAAAAATTTTGACGTTTTAAAAGTTTATAAAAGGAAGAAGTCGCAGATGCTGCATTCATTAGTTTTTCAATTTGATTAAAATCCCGATTTGAAGATTAGAAAATAAGGCAAATCTTAGATGATATTGAAAAAGCGGAAAGAGAGATTGCGAGGTTGAAGGCCACAAGAGAAAAGATTAAGGATAATAGAAGAAAGAACATACAAACATATGCAATCACAGACCAGTGCGGTACCAGAGAAAACAAAACTATCGTTTTTTTCATTCAACTTTTTTCATTTTTCTGTTCCTGAAAGAATTACTTGAAACGATGCTGAAAAACCATTATTATTCGCGAAGCGAACGAACGATTTATGTGTCAAATTTGCCGAGAAATGTTGTCGCAGATGATGTTTACGATCTCTTTGATCAGGTTCATTTTTTGTTCCCTATATTTATATAAAAACTGGCTTTTTCATGTCAACTAATCACTAAGCGATTAGTGATCAGCTTGTGGTTATGCTAGATCCGCTCATCGTCAGTGCGGTTAGAAATTTTTGCCAGAGAGCCATTTAACGGTATAAACGGTTTACCAGCATTACCAGGATTTTCTAATGGTAGGTCGAACCCCGACAGGGACAGAATGGAACCTCTGATGTCCAACGCAGATCGACGAATCATACAACTTGGGCCCTTGTCTTGCTTTTAAATAATCAGTGCTAATCGCTCGCTTATCACTTCTTGGTTTAAACATGGTTAGGTTTGATCTGGATTCAGTTACTTGGTGATAAAAATGTAAGTGGAAATATCACTCGAATTTACCACTTTTCTCGTCAACAAATTTCAAACTCTAATGCTGAGGACGACAATGTGAACAATAACTAGACTATTTTCCCACAATCTAGAAGCCATTAACAGGCGAAGTTTGGTAGCCGAGTATCAGAAGAAATTTTTGCTTCATTTCTACTCAAGCCGAATTTAAATCGGAACACGGTTATGCTGACCAGATATTCACGTTAAGAAAGGTGTTGGAACATCGCTTCAAATATCTACAAGCCACCGTTACGTGTTTTATCAACTCTGCACCTACTTTTGGTTCAATTGATAGAATGGCGCTTTGGAAGATGATGAAATATGATGGTACCATTCGGCTCATAAAGGCATTTTATAAGCACAGGTCGGCGTAGGTTTGAGTTTAAGGGAAAGACCTTTTTGAAATAAGAACTGGTGTCCGTCAGGGCTGCGTCCTTTCCCCTACAATATTCAATTATGCGATAGACTGGATAATGGGCATCGCTTGTCGGCATTCAAGAGGTGTGCAAATCAGTCCACAGCATAGTATCACAAACCTCGAATACGTTGATGATGTAGCCCTTTTTGCTCACCATTATGACGAAATGCTAATAATGCTAAACAACGTGTCAGCAACTACAGCGAGAATCGGACTCAGGGTCAATGAAAATAAAATGAAAGTCTTTTTATCTTATGTAAGAAGGTGATAAAATGCCTCTTTTTATAAATTCATCGACAGTTGCCTTATTTTCCACGACATGCATTATTCTTGATTTTATGTCCTAGCATATCCGAATTATCTTTATGGAATCGTCGCGAAATCACCATAAAGATGAAAATCCGTCTCCATATAGCTGTAATTCACTCGATATATATGGCTGTGAAACATGGCCATTGAGAATGGAAGATATTAAGAAGCTATTAGCCTTTGACCACTCATGTCTAAGGATCATTTTACGGATCCATCGAAGGATAAAATCGCGCATGATTGTATCCATCTTCGCTCAAATACCACCTGTATTAATAATGCTATCGTAGACTATTGCCTTCACTGCTTAAAGCACGTTTTCTGTCGTCCACACAGGAGTTGACACATATTTCATTACTTGCTAAACCCTGTGATGGTTGGCGTCAAAAGCGAGGTGGGTCAATCAAGACCTGGACTGATATGGTCAGGAATGATTTTGAACGTATAGATGGCAGTGATATATCGACTTGGACGACAGGGTTGGCACCCTTCTTTTGACAAAAGTGTAATTTTCAATGAAAAGTCCAGGTGGTGCTGATAGCCCAACTGTACTTTAACCACCTGCATAATAAAATAATGAAATACGGGCAACATATTTGAAATATTTGCAATCTAAAAAATCTCTAAAATATTTAAAAATAAAAGTATTAACGTCTTTCCAAAACAGTAGCGAAGCTTAGTGTAGTGTACCGAACATAGGGTATGAATATTTACTCAGATTATCGAAAGGGAGTTCTATTCTTTCCCATACACGAGTAAATATGACTTTAAAAAATCCTTATGGTGCTGGCCATGCACCTGTATTGCCAAGTGTTTGCCTAGCAAGAGTTTCCAACTCTAGCTAGCAGCTAACCTAACGAGAAGTAATAAGCGCCACCATTTTTTTGCTTAAATAGAATAGCTAATCGCTTTCAAAAAAGATAAGTTTTCTAGCTGTGAATAAATAAAATATTAACAATTCAAAAAAATCAGTTCTTCAATCACTTTATGTGATCTATATCTTTCTAGTTTGTGAGTGAGTGATGGCTTTTGACCTCCTTATTAATTTGCAGCAATGATAAAATTTTTTTGGGTTAGAATCACTTTAAAAAAGTTATAATAACTAATAAGAGCTTAGCAAGCATTTATAAGTAGTGCTTTGCTTTCAGAAAATTTTTAGGTCTAAGCAGCCGATGTCGGTCAAATAAATATTGAGAAGTAATTTGAGTTGGAATGTAAAACATTTTTAAAGAAAGATGCGCAAAAGATGTTTTGTGCAAATGAATAAATTCTTTTCGTTCATGTTGCTTTAACTCGATTATTTTTTAAGAGAACAGTAAATTTTCAGGTAGGACTTGTGGAAAAAGTTGTGGTGAAAACAAATCTCTATTCCAGTTTCGCTACTGTTGTTTTCAAACATTCAGAATCAGTTGCCTTTGCAGTGCAAAATCTGCAAAATATGGTGATAAAAGGGCAGCGCATCATAATGCGCCATTTCAAGTATATTTTTTGTTTTCATGGTTTTTAGCAAAAAACTTTCTTTCATTGCCCAGAAAATACACCTTATTCAGTATATTTGTTTTATTTCATAACTAAATAAATGGTTTTATTCTAAATCATTTTGGCCATATGGCGTCGTTAAAAAATCCAGGTAGATGCTGACGACCCACTTCTATTTATTTATGTTTCTAAGTGGCAAAAATTTCTTGTCACTAATAATCAGTAGAGTTAAAAGAAATGGGTAATCGCCACTTATTTTGAATTATCTCATTCTAGAAAAAATCTCCATGAGACGTCGGCAAACGGAAATATGGATTCTGTGAATACTTTAAGCACGATTTTTAACGAATCTCTCTCTCTTAACTCTGAAAAATCGATGACTATTGGGGTAAATGATGATATGAAAAAGCAGCATTACGTGAATGAAGAAAATTGGACAGAAAACTTACTCAAGAATCAAAATGAAGAAAAAGGAGAGCGACAGTGGTATCAGGATGAAATGTTTTATTACAAAAACATTCAGAACAGCTTGGAATTCTCGGGTCAGAACCAAAATTTTTGGTACAAAAATGAGAAAAAAAAATCTGAAATCTTTTATCAAAGCCAAAAAGGTGAAGCTCAGATGTACAATCAAAGAAATCTTTCAGATGCCTGGTATCAGTATAGAGAAAGTGGAGGTCAGTTTTGTTTTTGTTTCACATTTATGAATTTCTTCAAAATCTGGAATGTATGGTGCTGACTATTTAGTCATAGTTAATGCTCGCTAGTATAGATTTTTAAAATTTTTTTCAGTAATTTAATGCTCGCTAGTATAGACTTTTAAAATTATTTTTCAGTAATGAATATTTTAAAGGAAAGCAGAGTGGTATGAACACATGGCAAAACGAACTACTCAGTCGAAGTGGTACTGATTTAGAGCAATTCGATAACGATTCGCTACTGGGCGAGATGTTCGATTCAACACAATTTCATATGGATATACTAAAATGCAGTTTAAAGTTTTTATTGGACGAGGACTAATCGAATGTTGTTAATTTTTGTCGGATACATGGTTTCTGCAGCTTTTTTCGTTTAATTTTTAATTTTCTTTTAATGTTTTAAATAATTTCGTAAGCAATTTACTATTTTTTAATTTGCGAATTTTTATATATTTGCTTTCTTTTTTTTGCGCTAATTTTGCGTTTTATTGAATTTTTAATAATTTTAACAACTGTTATAGCAAACGGAATGGAAATCTTTGTTTAAAGAAATTCATTTTGACATTATTGCATTTCGCTCTTTCAACGATAAAATGTCTCTTCCCTTATTCCTTTTTATGAAATCTTTGATTTATATCAATCAATCACACTTCCTCGATCAATTGTCATTTAATGATTTTTTAAAATCTCTTCAACATTCCTTGGTCTGCTCGTTGTATTATGGAATTTTATCGTCTTAGCTTTATTTTAAACTGTAATTTTATATGTTAACAGATTTACGTTCATTTTATTTGTTAGTGAACCAGTTGCTGGAAAGCTTATTGAATCGCTAATGTTATGTGAATTTCTTTTTTCAGTTGTTATTATGGAATTATTGAAACGGCAAATATTGAAAAATTTCGAGAACCCATCTGTACTTCTATGTTCTGTTAGCGGCGGGAAAGATCATTTCATCATATTAGAAAACTTTCTTTTAAAAGTCTTTTTAAATGGAATTCTGTAGGAAAAAAGCAGTAAGTTCTATTTTCGAAATATTTTCCTTATTTAACCTTTGTTACTTTTACCAAACATTTCCATTTTAGCATCGATTTGCTTCCAACAGAGCTTTACTTCGCATGATTTGTTTTCAAAAATTAATCTCGATTGAAGTTTTGTTTTTTCGCTGACTGAATCCTAATAATCTGCGGTGAAATAATTTCATTTTTTGCAAGAAATGCTTTATAATGCATTTGGTTTTTTCTGTAGTATATCTAGTTGTTATAATTTGATTGAAGTTTTCGAAATCTCCTTGTTTTCAAAAATGCGCTTTGAAGATGAAGGAATGGAAAAATCAAATACGAAAATATTTGAATACCGTTACAACAGCACGGGTTTCAAGGCTCAATTAAGACTTACAATTCATAAGAAAAGTTCGTCATTTTTGGTTGGGTTCACACCACTTAGAGCGATTCGAAATTTTGGTCAGGAAATCAATAACGATAGAAATGCAGACGGGTGACACAGCACTATTCTGGATTTTTTAATTGCTTCTGCCGGAGGCAGGATCCATACTCCTGTGCTTCACGATGAAAATCTCAGCAACAACCACTCTCACCATGGCATTGCCTCCCCTCAATCCCCCCCCCCCTCCCATCATCACTTAACAAATGGATATAATACATTACAGTAACAAGAAAACCACCCAAAGCTTCAAGTGTTCCGTAGACGTCCTTCACGAATTTGATCCATCTGTGCCGATTTTTAGCAAAATGCAGTTGCGATTTAAAAATTTTCCTTAATTTTTGTCTTATTCATTTGATTGTGTGTATTTTACTGGAAATAGTGGTAGGTAAAGGTTGTACTGGAAATTTTGAAGAGTGGGGATTACTCATTAAAGGTTTTTGAAATAAAAACTTGGGATGAAATAATTTAAGCCAAAAAATTGACTCATGCAAACTGCAGTTAATATATTTTCAGTCTCCTGTGGTACTTCTTAGGATGGTGTGCTTCATTGAGCATATCGGAAAAACGGCCTCCACCAACCTTTTTGTTTTAGCCTCTTATATTAAAGCGAATTTTAACATCGGTTACCTGATCCATTCATCCATTGCAATATAGAACACGGCTATAGGAAAAGTTATAGAGGTGGGAAATGATATAAGATTACATGTTCTGAAAAGCTCCGCGGAGATTAGAACACTAATGCAAGTTAGAAATTAGGCGATAGATTGATAAGAAAATGGATGAAGGGAAAATATAAACACGGAAAATAAAATTCCCATGTTGCGGATAAGATAAATGATTATGTAAACGGTTTTCTTCACATTTATGAAAAGCTTGATATTGGTGATAATTAAATTTCCGGTTTTGCAAAGATTCGTTTTCGTTTGACAGCTTATTTGTGCGAAATTCAAAAAAGATAATGGGCAGAAAAAATTAGTAATAATCGATTTTAAAGAATAGTAGATTTCTTTACTCTTTGGGATTTTTCGGTACTTTCGTCATACATGCACCCCCTCACCTCTGATCTTTCATAACCTTTCTTCTCGCAATCAAATAACTTTGGCGCTGTGTAGTTATCTTATGATTTATGCGCCGCACCATTTTATATATTTTTTAAATATTTTGTCAACATTAATTTGTTGCTGTTGTATGAACATTCCCATTTTTTAAACGTAAAATTCCATGATTTAATTTCACACTTTTTTTTCAGTTGTTTAGGTCGGTTCGGTTATATAAGCAATAAATTTTCTACAGTAGTTGTGATTTTTGGAACGAATCGATAGACGTGGTAGAATTTATATCAGTTCTTCCCCTCATAAATTCACTCGTAGGACTTTATTTCTTTTTTTCATTTTTTTTATTTTCATTTTGTTGCTTGGAATCAAAGAATTCGTCTTCATGAAAAAAGTACGAGAAATGCTTTCTACAATTTTACTATTAATAATAAAAATTTTAGTCTAAAAAAAATATTTTCGATTTCAGTAACATAAATTTCTCTTGTTTTATTTAAGGAAATATTTTTATGACGAAGAATTAAAGAAATGTTAAGAAAAGGAATGCTAATTCATCTATTAAATCGATCCGTTTTATCAGTGAGAGGTGTTGATGCGGCGGCTTTTTTACAGGCGACAACTACCAATGATATAAAGTATGTTCATTTGTTGGATTCTGTTTAAAGTCAAGATATTTCTAAACTAATTTTAATGAAGAACTGGACGCAACCAATCTAGTCTTGGTTAGGAAAAAATCAGCTCAACACTGGAAAATTGTCTTGAATAGATATTATATGAAATTTAATCCAAACTCGATATCTCAAATTCCTTAGCTTTACTGAGAATTATGATTTTGGTCAAATATACGTTTACGTCACTTCTTCTTTAGTTTATTGAAAGCGAATGAAGCCTTATATAGTCTACTGTTGAATTCTCGTGGTCGAATTGTACACGACATGATTATTTATAAACAAGATGCTAATGGATGTTTCTTTATCGAATGTGACGCATCTCATTGCGGCAAATTGCAAAACATTTTTAATATGTATAAAATGCACAAATCAGTAATAATCGAGAAAAGTATTTTGAAAGTCTTCTACTCCGACAGTATCCATACTGGATCAGTTAAGGATCCGAGAGTTGCATCATTTGGGAACAGAGTTTTATCAGAAAACGTACCAGGTAAGCGACTTAGCCATTATCTTCCAATTTATGTGCGATAAAATGCTTACTTAAATCTAAACAATTGGCTTTTAATCAATAATTCCTTTGTTTTTTAAAACTTCTTATGTTTTATATGGCTCAGATGGGACTCTAAGCGACATGATGAATTACCAGGAAAAGAGATTTGATTATGGTATTGTCGAAGGCGTAGCTGAGACTAGCGGAGAAATCCCTTTGTACATGAATGCGGATATTATGAATGGCATCAGGCAAACATTTTTACCTATATTTTCGACTATGCTCAATCAAATGAATGGCTACGTTGTTTCTGCTCTCATTTTGAAGCGCCAGTGCTATTTTTCTATTTCCGCCAGAGATATCTTTTGAAAACCCAGGTACCGGCGATCCACTTATACTTTCTTCGCCACGTGGGCCTGGTAAAAATTATCATTTATAAGTTACGAAGCGAGCTTATCCAAAAATGGCGCAAGCAACCTTAATAAATACCAAGTGTATTCTATGTAGAAATATTGATGATCCAACCGCATAATCGCATAAAGGCATAACCAGATAGGTCACACCCAAAATTTCAAGCACAAAATTCCATATATTCGACACGTTTAAACTAATAATTGGTAATTGGCATTATAACTGAAACAATTGAGGTAACAGTAAGATAGTAAGATGATATTAAGTTAATAATATTCCTTTTCCAATAGGCATAAAAATTTTCTATTCCTTTTTTCAGAGAGAAAGTATTTATAACTAATATTTATTCGTTAAATCTTTTTTCAGCACCAACAAAGGCTGTTACATTGGCCAAGAATTAACAAATCGTAGTATGACCGTTCTTGAAATAAGGAAAAGAGTCTTCCCGTTCACGTGCTCTGGTTAGCCTAAACATTCATATCTACAATTTTACCTAAACATCAGTACTCTTTTCCAGATATGGTATCTGGTACAGTCTTGAACGAGAGGAGCGAAACTGTTGGCAGAATAATAGCTTGTAACGGACGTAAAGGTCTAGCTTTAGTAAATCTCAAAAAAGGATCTACTAACAGCTTCCAAACATCGAAGGGTTCAATCGCTCTTTGTGTACCACATTGGTGGCCATATAATTTATCCAGAAAATGCATGATTAAATAATTAAAATTTTGGAGAATAAAAGCTAGCATGCAACTTTGCAAGATCAATGAAGAAGACCAAAATACAATGGAAAATAAATCCATCTAAAGATTAATTTGAAAATCACATTAGCCTTTCCTTAATAATTCGGATTTCCAATGACAAAAACAAGAATAATGATATTTCCAATGACATATAAAGAATAATTTCCATTAACAGCGCAATTTCTCAGATCAAAAAGTAACCCATCAAAAATCTCCAGGTGGCGCATTAACTTTATTTTGAGACTCGTACCACGCCTTACGAATTGACCTTTTCATTTCGTCGTCACCGTCTTCATACATTTGTTTCATCATATTCATTAATGACTCCTGGGGATCAGCATGTTCATCGACTTTTGGCTTGCTAAAATCAAAAGAAATAAAAAGATATGGATACAAGTACTTGAATGACACAGGCCTAAAAAAATTTACCAGCCAATCAAAAGACATTCCTCTAGTTACCATAAGCTCATCAATTATTTATAAAATTGGTACTATCTAGAAGGCTCCTCAACACAAAGTTTGTCAAAAAAAACGTTTTCCCTCTACAAACATAAAAATAAGGCATTTTTGAAATGTAGAGAAATGAAATGAATATTTTCAAAAAAATACGTTTTTTCTTTTGCGTCCTTATCAGCCTTTGTTAGACAAGACCATCCTTCATTTTCTTTTGCTTTTTTCATCATGATTAGCAGCATATCATTCTTTAGCTTAAAAATAATACAGTGGATTCTTCTGAATAAAAAAATTTTTTGCTACATAAAATTAGTCCATTCGCTATCGTTTCGAAATGTACACATGATAATAAATTTCAATTATGGGAATGAACATTATTATTATACTACCCTATGGCTTTCTTCCATTGCTGCATGACCCTATAAAAAATGAAAAATTCCTTACAAAGGGGAAAGAATTCAACCGCTTCTAATTATTCTGAAAAGATCCAATTAACCTGTACCTTGAATGATGACTGGACAACATTGATGGGCTGTGCTAACCCTTTAATAACCAGTGAATAATTTTTTCCCATCAAATCCTTAACCATCACTTCCAATGACCTAAAAAAAAAGATTTCTGTTCCCACAAATAGTTTCACGATGGCATAATTTCTTTAAGCGGATAAAGTGGAACCAAAAATCTTGCTTTTGTCATAATCGCATCTTATTACATTTTCAGTTTAATTATATCTAACCAGCAAAATTTGTTACCGACACCGCTGTCTAGATGTTTTGATTCCATTTCTTAAACGACCATTTAGAATTTGTTAATATTAAACTATTAGACCAACTTATACCGTAATATGATTTTGATCTATGGTGTGGCCTGATGAAAAAAATTACTAAAACCCTTTCAAATAACCCTAGGATAAATCAACTATAAATTTCAAAACCTCACTTTTTTTGTGATTCATCTGTGTTACTTACATAATCAGTAATTTCTACTGCAGATAATAGAAGACTAGATGAACTGACTTGCAATACAGCAAAATGATAGCCTTTCACTTTCAATTTTTCAATGTTTCAGCCTTGAAAGCCTTGTTACTTATTTATTTCTTCATTTCCTACATTTATTTTTTCAATCGTTCCACATAATGTTCAACTGCTTTCTAAACAAATAAATAAAAATACTTTTCACTGAAAGAGATATGTATCCTATCCTCAGGTAAGCTTTGCACATTTGGTAAAGTTAAATACAACTTCACGAACTTTTGACTTTCATCCCATGCTGAAAGCATCATGAATTAAAATAAATCATACGACAATATATCATTTTAAAATTAAGATGCGTATTATAATTAATTTTGCAAAATAATTTCAAAAAAATCTCACCATAATCAGTAATTTTAACTGTAGGTAATGGAAGACTAGATGAACTGACTTGCGATACAGCAAAATGATTGCCTTTCGCTTTCAATGTTTCAGCCTTGAAAAATCATAGAAATGAAGATAATGTAATTTAATAACAAAAAATGAATAATTTTCACGGACAATGGCAGAATCGTTTGTGGTTTAAAACGCTTTTACTATAAGAGTTCTGAATTACAAAATATAATAAAAATCGCTTTTCAACTTTTTCAACGTAAAACGAAGGAGAAATATTTAATAAAAAAAAATGTGAAAAACATGCATCCTTCTGACGTTTAATGATTAGTTCGCCAAGTATTTTCTTGACAAATGGACGTGAAGCAATTGACAGCAATTTTTGCAATTCTTCCACATCTTTGCCGATCTGCAAGTAAGATGAAAAAGCAGCTTTTAAAATCGTCAAAAACGAGGACTGAAAAAATTGAGCAGAAAAAATACGTCGGGATAAAATTATTGAATAATTTGATAAACAATCTTAAAAAGCAATTACCTCTGAGAAAATATCACTTCGTTCTATCTCCATGATGTAACAACAGCCTAATTATTCGAAGAAGTATAACTAATAGCTAAAAAAAATGTTGTTAATTGTTCACCTAATCAATTGTTCACACTGGTATGGCTAGGCATATCTTAACTTTTTCATATAATTTCATATGGCTTGGTTTTACGGTAGATGACCGGAGTGACCATACCAATGCGAATGAATGACAAGTCGGCAAATGGGCGAACGCCGAAAGAAACTACAATGCGGGAGGGAAATGAGAGTAAAATCATAACAGATTTATAAAACTGAAATCACCACAAAACAAACGAATATCAATGTTACCAATTAATACCAAATTTTAACCCTTTTAAAAAGCGTTAAAATTTCCTTTAATTTTCTATGCAAAAAAAATTAAAAATTTCCCTCAACTTCTCTATTTTGGTTTTAGACATGATAGAGCACAAAATAAACATTGGAAACGATTTTGTAGAAGCCATTTAAAAAAATTCAGCAAAAATTTGAAACTGAATTTATTTCCACTTGCTCTTCGACTTTTCCCGTACAAGGAATAAACCAGTTCCTCTTCGTAGCCCAAAACCCCGTCCCCGAAACATCCTTTTAACGAAACACCCTTTTTGACAGCGCTCCCCTTTATCCCTTTTCTCTCCTTGAGTACATGCGCTACTGAACCAAATTACCAGCGAAGCCGCATTCGAGAAATTTCTACAACTTTCTGTTTCTGTTTTAAGACAATGCTATTCGAATATTCTATTTTACAGCACAATATTTCCGATTTTTCTTCTTGGATTCGTTCACCTTCACAAAAGGCTGATGTGGTACTCTCAGTTTTCTGGTTGAGAATTAGGCGCTGTTGGCGCGAGGATTTGTTTCACTTGTTTTTTGTCTATAGGTCCTTCTATCGCTGACTTCCTCGCTGGTGATTCTATTAATTGCTTCCATCGTTCAAGGATTTCGGCACCATTGATCCCTAGTCTGTTTCTCCTCTTTAATTTCCGAAAATCTGCTCTGTTCGTCTTAAACATCTTTTTGTCCTCTTGCATCTCTATGTTTTCATTCAGTCACAACTATATTCCCGAATTCACTCGTTATGAATCCGAAATAATGTGAATTATTATAAGTCAACAACATAATTATAATTATTTCCAGTGCGCGAAATTTTTACGCATTTCTGGTCATCAAATTGTTCGAAATTTAACGCAAAATCCGATCCGTTAGTGATTTTTAATAAAATTAATTGAGTAAAGCGACGAAAATTATTAAAAGTATGAGGAGACGATGTAAGGACACAGCTTCACGTTACAGAGATTTCTTCGTTTAATCAAGCACTTCTCACTTTGGTTGGACTACAAGTATGCAAAAACCTGCCCAATTTGTAGGAAGAGCCGTTTTGGCGACGGTTTACCTATGAATTTTGAAAATAATGAATTAGTAATGAAAGATAAAGAATATCTTGGCAATATTTAATCTTGATTATAATAAAATCAATTCGATACATAACTTCGTTTTTCAATGTTTGTTATAATAAGACGAATTTGCAGGAAAAAGAGAAGAGAAGGAAGAGGAGGAGGAGAAGGAGGTGGGAGGAGGTTAGAGGTTAGGTTAATTTGTTGCACTTCTCTCGATGAGGTTGAAATAACGCTACTGTATGCTTATGATGTTTTAAATAGACTTAAGCCGTCCATTTCAGCTGGTCCCAATAATATTCCACAAATAATTTATAAAAAATGTGCAGTTTCATTGAGTCTTCACTATTTAATTTTCAATTTATAAGGACATTATGAAATCTGGCCTTAATCCCAAGATTTGGAAGTTGTCACATATCAAATTCCCATTCATAAAAAAGGAAGCACCTATGAAGTAATGGAAGTAATGGAAGTATCCTTAAAGTATGCAATTTTTCATTGATGGTGGTACTGCGCTTATTTTGTATTTTTGTTAATTATTGAAAACCTTTTGAATTTTCAGTTTGAATTTTTTAAAAATTTTAAAATTTTTTTCGCTTCAAACGTTTTTAGAAATGTAGCAGATTATTGTCTTCACATTTCGTTTAGCGAATTGTATAAATCTAATCTACCATCAATTTCCATTTTCAGGTAAATCTTGCAGATGAAAGGGCGGTGCAAATTGCGTGCATGTCGTGCACGTCGGATATAATATTTGCAATGAAAGACAAAAAGTTTCTAGAAAAATAAACATATAAAAATCGTGCTTTGCGATAGCAACAGCCAGCAAAGCGAGTCAAACCAGAAATGGTGAGAGTTAACCACAGCGAATAAAGGAAAAAAATGAATCTTTATTTGAATTTTAAAGCCTTTTAATTTTTTGTCCATTTTATAAAATCAAATTTTTCATTAACAGTTTAACTTAAGTGATAATGTTTTGAACTGACGTCGGTCAGTTGCTCGTTTGATTTTTGCAAGAACCTGTTGTTGCAAAAATGCAACACTTATTTGATAGATATGGGTTGGCTCAGGTTACATCCAGTTAGGTTCATGCAAGCAATTTACTGAGTGTCGTAAACAAGTAATAGTGCTATATTCTACACTTTTTAAGCACTAAAAGTAAATCATCTCGGCCTAAATTTATTGAAAGTGATTGAAAATTTATTGATTTACTGCACAAATTCATCGTCTATTTGCGACAGTAGGATATGGAGGTGGCGGTGATTCGTTTATGAATCGAATTGGCGGTGGTAGCGCTGGTGAATTATCTCGACGAATCGAAACGACATTGGACATTGCATCGTTGTTGCATGTTGATTAATGTAACCTTGAACAGGATTATTATTATTCTTGTTTACTGATATTATCAAGTTATTCGTATTGTTATAAGCTATATAGTTCCAATTTGTTTTATTCGATCTCTGTTGTATATTTTGAATGTCTGTTGGTAGCTATAAAGAACCTAGAAATTCCGACTGTTGAAATAAACCTTGACATTAAAATCATATACTGGACTATTGGTAATAATGATTGTCCGTTGGTTATCAGGATGGTACCATATGTTGCCGAAATATTTTTGTTATAACTTGAGTCTACAAATATATAGAATGACTAATTCTATTTCATGGCTAATCGAAAAACACTGATTGTGCTTTAATTTTACATGATATTAGGGTTCTGTCTATAGAAATTCTAATTTCGAATGCTTATCTGTAAATTTTTCGTATTAATTTTCCAAATACTGATTTATTTTTTCGTTTTTTCTATAACTCTAAACTTCCGTTTTATCATAAATGAGAAACATACATCAATATGCCTTAATTCTTGCTCTTAATTCTTTTCATTCGCCAAGCAGATTATTTTGTGCAAAAAGATTTCAAATGTTTCAGATTCAGCATCGATTGAGTGCAAAAATATGTACTCCTACTATTTGTTCACATAAACAATCTTTTGAAATTTTTGTTCATCATAATCAACCGGGCAGCCAAGTGGATATTGGTTTAAATTTTTGCGCTTTGTGCTTCCTTCGCAAATAAATCTGTTATTAAAAAATCCGAGTGGTGCACTTAGGACCCACTTTCATCTCTATCAACCACTTGATTCCTTGGCAAATAATTTTAACTTACCAAGCCGGCGCAATTAATCTAAGAGCTAGGAAAATACTAACAACTTCTTTAAATTTATCAACAGAAAATTTGCCTAAAGTTATAAAACAATGAAAATCATTTAAAAAATAGCGTTTGAATAAATATCGAAGAAGATTCGTTAATTTGAAGATTCATGTGCTAATTGGAAAGTGATGTAGACTGGTTTACAGTAACCAAGTGCAGCTGGTTAACAGCAATTTATCATCAGCCAAGAAAGAAGTTTTTTTTAATTTTTCCAGGTTTCTTTCATATTTGCGAGGATCATTTAATTACAAAACTTTGATTAGTAAATCCATGATATTTAATAACAATCTTAAGAAACTTTTTTGTCGCTGAAGGCAATTTCTTCAGATCGACGCCTTTGTTTATTTGTTATATCAGGATTGGATGAGTTTTTCTTCTTTTTTTGATGTTCATCTGCAACAGGCGTAAAGTCCAGATTGCATTTATATTATAGAAAATCAGTGCGTGGTCAATGCATTATTTCTGGTTATGCTTGCTCAAATGGCTATTAGTATAAAATTAATTTTTGCTAGAGAATCACTTAGCAAGCTTGTCTCTGATGTTTGAGAGGGCAACTGGAGCAATGATCACACCTTGCATCCCAATAAAAATAAATGATAAATAACAAAAGCAAAATCTTCTCGAGCAAAGCCACTGAAACAAGCGATTTACCATTAGTGTCTTGATTACGACCCACCTAGACTTCTATTCCAAAATGACTCTCTGGTTGAAAAAATTTCGTCCTAATAGTAAAAGCAAATGGAATCTGCCAAACCAGAGATGATAAGTACTGCAGAATGCAAAAAAATCTTGACATTCTGCTCGCTTTCAAAGTTGCTCAAAATATGTTCAAATATACTCAATACACTTAAAATATTTATTTAAAAAATTATTATGCATGACTACGCTGAGTTTCTAAATAAACAACCAAAAAGGGAAATTAATGACGAAAACATCGTGCAAATATTTGTTAACGCGATTGTATTTTTTCGCTTATTTGTTTAATTTAATCTTAAAATAGTTGGAGCTAAAACCGAATTTAACAGTGTGTAATTAGTTCGATTCGTTCAACCGATCAACTAAAATGTAATATGAATAATTGTTATTATTATTGGATATTATTGATTGATAACCGATTACTGTTTGGACATCCCAAACTTTTTTTAGTTTAATTTTCTTTTTTTATTCCTTTCTATTCTTAAATTTGATTTTTTCTTTATTTTTCTTTCACCTTATGCTATATATAAATATATTAAATATACATATATATATATATATATAAAAATATATAAAAATAAATATATATATATATATAATATTATAAAATAACGTATTACACTTGCCTTCGATAAATCTGCCATATCAAAAAACCAGATGGCTGCTGGGGGCTCACTTGCAACTCTATCCACAAGTGTCTTTCTAGTTG